CAGTGAGGCATATTGGTAAATATTGATATCAACCTACAAGCACATGATTTTAATTGAGAATATTCATTGTTTAGAATACTTTTGATGAGCATAAGTAAAGCCAGAAGTGAAGGAGTCACATAGATAGAAGACATTTGTAGAATTCTATTATATTCTTCTCTTGATATTTCCCTTTTAGCATGCCATAACACTGAAAGTAATGATTTCCGATTGAGATTAGGTCAAAGTTCCTCAAATGCATAATTAAACGAATTTTGAATTCTGGAAATTTCTTTTGCACTTGCATCAAGATCCAAAAAACACTGGTGAAACTATAGCTGGAGCTCAGAAAATATATCTTCTATAACTTGTGTGGCAATGGAGGTCTCACTTCTTTTTTAAACTTCTGACAGCACAGGAAGTTTATAAAGCATCATGACATTACTGGTGATTCAAATAATGTTAGTGGTCCTGGAATCGACTTTGCCACAGTACAAATTTCACATAAAAGTGCAGTTGTGCCTTGTAATTTAAGGTTGAAATAATTAAGAAACATTATAAAGTCTGAAGCAAAAGCTAATTCTCACAGCCATTCAGTGTTCAAAATGCTGCCAAGTTATAAAAAAGACAATCTGCACCAACCCCACTTCACCTCCCTGGATATGACTTCACTTCCTGCTGGGTCTCCTTCATCTCCACCTTCCAGACAAAGAAGAGAGGGGAAGTAAGACATGACCTTTCATCTAACTTCACACCTTCCTTCTTCTGAGTTGAAGAAGAGGTAAGGCAGTCCAGGTCTGGGCAAGACTTCCATCTGCACCAGTAAGACTTCCATCTCCCACCCTTGCTCCATGTGACTTCAACCTCCTGCTTCCTCATTTTTCCACCCAATATCAGTGATTTTCCATCTGACTGAACAAGGGGGAGCAAGATTTCCACCTCCTGCTACATAGGTTCAAATTCCATCTCATGCTGTGGGTGTCTCCTGCCTGATCAAGTTCCTCTGGGAAAAGGAGAGGTGCTTTCCCCTTAATGATTAACATACTCATACTTGTTTATACTCTACACATTCCATTGATTCTGAACCCCTACAGATCATTATCTAAACTCCATTCCCCTCCAATCAATTCCTTATTCCCATTCCCCTCAACCCTCCACCTCAAAGTCCCAACCAAATGCTATCCAGCACCAACGTGCCCTCTAAAATACCTGCTCTATAGGTAATAAACCTACCTTCATCTTAACCTTTTAACTCTCCCACTCCTTTTATCTTCTTGCAATCAGTAAGACCTGGCTCCCCTCTCATGACACAATCTCCCTAGCCACTCCTTCCAGTACTGGCTGAATTTCCACTCATTCCCCTAGGTCACTGGTCAAGGGTAGAGCACTGAAATACCAGGTTCTTCCCCTAGCTCTATTCCATCACTCAGTAACCTGTCCTCCTTTGAGTCCCATAAAATCCACGTCTTCCAGTCAATCAAAATCCTGGCAGATGTTGTGTAAAGACTTAAAAGACATTCCCCTTCCTTCCTCAACAAATTCAGTACCTGGCTCACAATCTTTCTCTCCTCCCCAACTCCTGTCCTCACACTAGGAGACTTCAATACACATATCAACACTTGAGTTACTGAGTTCCTCAATCTACTTAACTTCCCAAGAAACATTTCTCCACATTACCCCAGCCACACACAAAGATGTCATAATGGTCATACCCTTGTTCTTGCCATAATCCACAAATATACCACCTCCAAGTTCAAGAAGTCTGAAATCCCCTTACCTGACCATAATCTATCAGTTTTCTCCTTCTTTTTCTATTACCTCCCTCTTTTTATAGTGATCTTCCTTTTCCCATCTTGATGTCCCGGTAAACCAATTCAACTCTTCTTGAGTCCCTGGACCCTTTATCCTATAGCAAATTGTGCCCTGCCAAACTCAGCCTTGATCATTCCTACCATCCACTGCCTTCTCTCCCACACACACAGTACCAAACAAAATCAGAGAAAAATCACACAACCATTCTGACGGGACCACTACAAATTTATTTTACACAACCTCAACTAGGCCTCACTGCTGCCAGGCAATCCTACTATACCTCCCTTATTACTCACTATTGCACTCTCCACAGCAAGTTTTCCAAACTTTTTCAGTCCTCCTCAAGCCTCCCAAGGCTCTATTTCCTATTCTCTCAGCTGAGAAATTTATATTTAACAGAAAAAAAAAACCTGAAGCCATTTGCCATGGTCATTCTCCCTATTTTTCCTATCTTTTTCTTCTCGTTTCAGTCATATGCTTTCTGCCACTATCTCCTTCTTCACCTCTGTCTTACAAGAGGTTGACTTACTCCTTGCTAAGAAAAACTCTTCCACCTAGACAAGCAATCCCATTCCATCTCATTTCCTACAAGAGAATGCCTGCTCTGTTATCCCCATTCTCTCAATTAGCTACAATCTCTCCCTGTCTACTGGCTCCTTCCCTGCTTCCTATAAACACGCCCACATTTCCCCTGTCTTCAAAAAACCCTCACTATATTTCTTCTGCCCTTTGTGGCTAAACTCTTGAGAAAGCCATCTACAATAGGTGCCACCACTTTTTCTCCTCTCACTCTCTTCTTAACCCCCTACAATCTAGCTTCTGATCTCATCATTCCAACAAAACCATCCTCTCCAAAGTTATCCATGTTCCTAATTTCCAAATCCAGTGGCCTCTTCTCAATACCCATTCTTTTTAACCTCTATGCAGCCTCTGACACTATCGATCACTCTCTTCTCCTTAATACTGTCCTCTCACTAGGTTTTCAAGACATCTCTCTCCTCATTCTCTTTCTACCTATCAGACCACTCTTTCTCAGTCTCCTCTGCAGCATCTTCATCCAGGTCATGCCCGCTAATCTGGGTGTCCCAGAGGGCTCCAACTTGGGCCCTCTTCTCTTTTCTCTCTATATTACTTTGCTTGATGATGCTGTCAGCTCCCATGGATTCAACTGTCATCTCTATGCTGATGATTTTCAAATCTACTTATGCAGCTCCAACCTTTCCGCTGACCTCCAGTTTTATATCTCCAACTGCATTTGAGGTATCTCAAATAGGATGTCCATTAAACACCTTAAGCTCAACATGTCCAAAACTAAGCTTATTGTCTTCTCCCCTAAACTATTCCCCCTTCCAAACTTCCCTATTACTATCAAGGCCACCACTATCTTTGTAGTTTTTTAAAACTGAAACTTCAATATCATCCCTTAATAAAAACAATAATAATATCTAACATTTCTATAGTGCTTACTATGTGCCAGTCACTATGCTAAATGCTTTACAATTATTACCTCATTTGATCCTCATTTGACTCCCACTAACCCTGGAAAGTAGGTGCTGTTATTATCCTCATTTTACAGATGAGGAAACTGAGGCTAAAAAATTAAGTAACTTGACCAGAGTAATACAGCCAGTAAGTGTCGGAGGTCAGATTTGAACAAAGGTCTTCTCGACTCCAGGCCAGGGGCTATATCCACTGCTCCACCTAGATGCTCTACAGCCAATCTGTTGCCAAGGCTGTCAATTTCCCCTTTGTAACATCTCTCAAATATACCCCCTTCTCTCCTTTTGACACTGCCACCACCCAGTTATAGATCCTCATTTCCTCATGCCTGGATCTTTGCAATAGCCTGCTGATTGATCTGCTTGCCATAATCCCCACCCTTTATTCCAAACCACGCTCTATTCTGCTGCCAAAGTAATTTCCTAAAGCATAGGTCCAACCATGTTACTCCCTACTCAAAAACTCCAGTGGGTCTCTATCACCTCCAGGATCAGATATAAAATCCTTTATTTGGCATTCAAAGTCCTTCATAAGTTACCCCATACAAACCAATTCTGGTCTTTTTATACCTTATACCACCCCATGACACCCCCACCCTATCCCACATATTCTGTGATCCAATGACACTGGCCTCCTGGCTGTTCTTTGAACAAGCCACTCCATCTTTCTGCTCTGGGCATTTTCTCTGGATGTCCCCCATGCCTGAAATGCTCTCCCTGCTCATCTCCACTTCCTAGCTTTATTGTTTTCCTTCAAGACCCAACTGAAATCCTACTTACTATAGGAAGCTTGTCCCAACCCCTCTTAATTATTTCCTATTTATCCTGAATATAGCTTGTCTGCATATGTTTATTTGCTTATTATCTCCCACATTAGAGTATGACCTCCTTGAAGGCAAGGTCTGTTTTTGCCTCTCTTTGTATTCCCAGCATTCCCAGTACCTGGCACATAACAGGCAAATAATAAATGCTTGATAACTGAGTGAACTGTGTCACTGATATTTGTAGTACTCAAAGCAACAGTACAAAGTGGTGACAATGTCACATGTAATCTATGTTACAATTATTCAACTCTGCCTTTGCAGCATGTAAGCACAGGCAATACGTAAACAAACAAACATGCCTGTGTGCTGATAAAACTTTATTTGACAATGTAAAAATCACTCTTAGTTCGTGGGCCATACAAAAACAAGCAGCAAGATATAGGTCACAGGTCACAGTTTGCAAACTTCTGGCCTAGGGGAAAGTGCATCAGATTTAACATCAGGAGCCTCTAGGTTCAAATTCCTGCTCTCTACTTACTTAACCTAAGTGACCTTCCCTGAAATCATTCAAGTAGTAAGCTCTTAACCTCTTTAAGTCAGTTTCCTCTTCTATAGGTAAAACCAGATGACTTCCATCTGGGCTCTCTTTCATCACTAAATCTATGACCTGAGGAGAAAATCCACACGTTAATGAAAGCCATGCTTAATAATCTCCCACCCTATTGCATATGATACAAAAATAAGCAAAATAAATTAAAATCTGACAACACTGTGGTCTAAAACACAAATGGAAGAATCTCAAAAATCAAATATCAAAAACTGAATCAAAGCTAAGTGCATCAATAAATGTTTATAATAGAATGACTTTCTGCCACACATATGTATCCTTCAGAAAAGTTATGAGAGGGGCTTCTTGATCCTAGGTTTAACTATTTCTGATACATACCCAGACTTCAGGTCAGTTATCCTCAAACAGTTTGTAGCATCCAGTCCTACTTTTCCATTTCTGACCACACTGGATATAAATGGAGAAAGCAAAGGAGAAATTCTGTTCAAGGCTACTTCAGGGGACATTTTAGCTTAACCTGCAACACCACTCTGCAAGGAAAAGTAAAGAAATTTTTGTCAAGCACAGCAAAACCTCACATTCTATACAGTTTTTGAGATCCTTGCAAAATACATTCAGTACATTTTCTGATGTTTAAATATCATCTCACACAAAAAAGATAATTTCAACGTATTTGTTCATTGCCCATTTTTCTACTACCATGGAAAATTTTACATACAAGAGTATGTAATTAATAATTCTTTTGTAAGATAAATAAGTATAGTAAGTGTAATTGCCACTTTACTGAAAAAGAAAACCAGGTTCAAAGAGATTAAAGGATTTGTACAACATTACACAGCTAGTGAGTAACAAGACTGTTACCTAAACCTAGGTCTTCTGACCCTAGGCATCATGCTCCTGCTATGCCATAGGGCCCCCTAATCAGCCTGTATATCAATGTGAAGATGGCCCACAGTTTTTATTTCACTAGCTACCAATTTTAGATCTTTTTGGCTATGAAATAGTTTCTTTTATTAATGAGTAAACACTTCATAGCTCTACTATATGAAAATATCAATTAGCTCCATCCACTAAAGGCACTAGAAACAAGGCATTGTGCTAGCAGTTTGCATTCCAGTGAAGGGAATAAGTCACATGAAAGCGGAGTGCAAAAGGACAAGGAAATAACAGTCAAGTATTGCTTTCTACATGAAACTTTTCCTAATGTCCCCCAGCCTCAAATAGTCTCCCTCCCAAACTTACATATACATCATACACACACGCACACACACATACATATACACACATGTATACATATATATACACTACATATACTTATTTATGTGAATGTTGTTTCCCTTGAACAGAATCTAAGACTCTTGAGGGTGGAAACTATCTCACTGTTGTCTTTGTAGCACAGTTCCTGGTGTTAAAAAATGTTTACTGATTGAAAAATTACCTAATATACATGAAAACACCAGAGTCCAATAAATGCTTACTCCCTTACCCTTACCTATGAAAAGTCCAGAAAACAAGAATCTACTCAGTGTTTCTAAGCTCATAGTACTTTTTGCCTTCCTAGTCTCTCACAAGAACCTTCCAAAAGAAAAAAACACTCCATTGGCTGCTCAGAACAGATACTCCACTGCTTCCCAAAGACAAGAAGGAATGACAGAAATACAATTCTACTCTTCTTCTACTTAACAACTGGCTTTTACTTACTACTTACTTGCTACTTACGATTTACTACTAAAAGATGTTCTACTTTACCTACCAACTTGTAAGCAGAGTTAAAGCTAAATGAGTTGTCAAAATTCAACCAGATTTTTTTTTAAAGTAGAAGTGCAAAAGCATCCGTTTCATAAATCCAGCAGAGATCATTTCATGGAATAGATTATGAATGCCTTTTAACAGGTTCCTACACGGACAACCATATTTTGTAAACAAAGAACATTTAAAATGAACATATTTTTCTTAATACTTCAAATTAAGTAACTGCCCTAAGTTACAATCCAATCATTTCTAGTAAGGTACAAGATAGAAAGAATGAGTCAAGCAATGTTTCATTCTAACTTTTTATATTGGGCTTCAATTTAATCTGTGAAATGAGGAATGAGACTAAGTAATCCTAAAATCCTTTCCAACTTTAAATCCTAAAACCTAGACAAAGAGAGAATTCATTGAGGAAGTTTCATGGGCATTTCCCATGGTAACGCTTATATAGCAGTACTGTGCCTTCATCTACCACAACAATCATAGTATTCAGAGGAGATGCTAAAGTGAATTTTCCAAAAGAGAGGTGATCATGGCACTTGTAACAGAAAGTTACTCAATAAATTTATTATGCAATTAAGTGCCAGGCACTACACTAGGCGCTATCAGAGATACCAAGAAAGGCTATGATACAGTCCATGTCCTCAAGGAAGACGAGTCAGAAGAGCTGGGTTTGAGAAGCTACAGCCCTCCCACTTATTAGTTAAGTAACCTTAGGTAAGATCCTTAACCTCACTGAGCCTTGGTTTCTTCATTTGCAAAACTGAGCCAATAATGCTTGTACTTCTTATGTCACAGAGTTATTGGGAGAATCAAATGTGATAACATAGGATGTGTAAAGGACTTTTTAACATGTTAAATAATTGTAAGCTAGGTGGTACAGTGGACAGAATCAGGAGGACCCTGAGTTCAAATCCTGCCTCAGACACGTGACACTTACTAGCTGGGTGACCCTGGGCAACTCACTTAACCCTGATTGCCTCACCAAAAAAGGCAAAAAATACAATAAAATAAATGTAAGCTACATTAAGTATTACTATTACTGAAGGCATCTGCTTATCCAACAGCCTACCTTGTCCCTTATTCTACAGATGCTATTCATTACCACTACATAAATGAAAAACAGGGGGACTCGTTTAATTCCACCCAGACAACTAGATGTTGTTTCCCACCAACATATTAGATAAGCTCCCCCTTTTTAAGTAAGTAGACCAGACACGTTTTTGAAAGATTTATTTGTAAGAATGTAACTTGGGAAACTGCTTCTCTTTCAATGCTGTTGAATGAAACTAAGCAGTACAATTTCCCTAGCCAAACTATAAACATGTAAAGAGTATCAATAACAAGAAGTAGTGAAACATGTATTAGAAACAAAAAAGGTAATAAACTTCACTATGCAAGGCAGATAAACATTTCACAAGTACTTTGTTACCTGGTTTCCTTTCAATATTCTAAACATTCCTACTACTCCATAAAGAATGTAAAGTAAAATTAGCATAAGAAGATCTTAGACAATGAACAAGATACTGAAATATAATAACAAACAAATGCAAAGGACTTTCCCAATTTGTTCAACTATCCTATGTTTATAACAAACACCTACACTTACACATTTCTAACTAAGCAACTGTTTTCACTCCAAATTCTTAACAAAGGTCAAGTAGTCAATTTAGATTTTACCAAATAAAAAAGATCTTAAAATTAATAATGTTTCTTGGTTTATTTTAAGGAGTAAACATAGTTGATTTTCTTTATTTAAACAGCCATGGCCTGTGAAGTTGATTTTTCAGCACCCAACTGCAAGACTTTACATCTATTTCTACTAGATTCTATCTTATGAGATTCCAATCCAATACTCTGGCCTGTCAAGATCCTTTTGGATTTTATTACTGCCATTCAATGTGACAGCTATCCCTACTAGCTTAGCGTCATCTGCAAATCTGATGAGAATACCAACTATACCTTAATTCAAGTCATTGGTGAAAATAAGAAACAGCACAGGGCCAAGCACAGATCCCTGGAATAGTCCACTGAAAATCTCCTTTCAGGCACTGAACCATCAACAATTACTCCTTTCAGTCAAGAGATCCAACAAATTCTGAATCCATCTGATCGTGTAATCCAATCCATATGATACCTTTCCTTTCTCCACAAGAATAGTATGATACTGTACCAAAAACTTTAGATGAAATCTAGGTAAACTATACCCACAGAATTCTAATCTACTAGATTAGTTAATTGAGTCAAAATGGGAAATTAGTTTAGTCTTCCACATCTTATTCTTGATGAAGCCATGATGGCTCTTTGTAATCACTAATTGGTTCCCTTTCTAGATATTTACCAACTAATTTCTTTAATGATGTATTCTAAAATCTTCACAAGAATTGAAGTCAAGTTTATTGGCCTATAGTTTGCAAACTCCTTTATAGTAAAATATTCATTTATGCAATACACTCCAGTTAAACTTGCACAGAGCTAGAGCACAGAGATGAAGGCAAAAAGAAGTTACACAGACAGTTCTCACTTCAGGTAAATTTGACTTTGTAAAGAATTCTGAAGAAGTCCACATTCCAAAAAAAAACCCTATGTTAACTTTACTCTACATGACTACACTCCCTGCCCTTTCACTTAGTACTCTGTAGCCTCCAATGCCCACCACCAAAAAAAACCACCTTCCAAGTGAAAGAAGGAGAGACCCCACTGCCCTGTCAATTAGTGGACTGGCTTGAGACCTGTGTTAGTACACCCCATATTGTATCCCTGAGTGCCCGTCTTCCATCCTTCCTTGTGTGTTGGACCCTGCCCTGTGCTATCTCCCATCTTCTCTTGTCTGTGTTCATGTCACCACTCAGCTGATCCACGAATTCTTCCTCCTCCTCTCAACTTCTCTGTTACTAGCCTCAAGGCCCAAGTGGCCCCCAAGTGCCTCCCTCCCCTCCCCAATGAGGTAGCAAAACCACATTAGGTAAAAATTGCTTTATGTAAAGGTCTGTGGAAAGGTCCACTTAAGTAAAGCATGAACTGTCTACACTATTTCCATGGTCAAAGGTCATTTCAGGGCTAACTATAAAGCTGATGTGGACCTTGCAAATGAAAAGGGAAGGGAGTACTAACTACTGCTCATAGAAATCAGACAAAAGCTACCCAGTGGAAAAACCAAATCATCATAAGCTGTTCCAAACTGATTGAATCATGAAGCCCATGTTGGCCACAAAAGTAAGCCCACTTACACTATGCCACATGAAGGCCATGAAAAGTAGAAGGATGAGGGGAAAGAAATACATGTGCTGAATCACTGAAACATGATGCAGAGCCCAGGAGAGTGTACTTATGTCACAACCCAGCAAAGGGCATGGAAGGAAATCCTCTAAAAAGAGGAAAAGAATAACTAGTTCCTCTCCAGGGTACCACAAAGGTGTCTTTGAAATGAAAATTTCATTCAGCTCAACCAATAATAATAATAATTAACAACTGGTGTTTATATAGCACTTTAAGGTTTCCAAAGTGCTTTAGAATCCTAGGATCACAGGTTTAAAACTAGAAGGGATCTAAAAGGTCTAGTCCAACCCTATTCTTTAACAGATGGACAAACTGAAATTATAGACTTGTCTAAAGTCACAAGGTGGTAAAAGTACAGGATTACACTATCTCATTAGAGCTTCACAACAACCCCGGAGACTGTTCGAAAAACACAGACCCTTGGCCTCGCTCAGCCTAATTTCTACATCCATAAAATGGGAATAACAGCTTCCATTTGTTGAGCACTTTAAGATTTGTAACTCGTTTTACATCTAATTTCTCATTTGCTTCTCACAAGAACCCTGTGATGGATGTGATAGTATTATTATATGTATTTTATATACGTATATACACATATATATGTATATGTAGTATTATTGCCTGGGGTAAACCCAGCTAGTAAGTGTCAGAGGCGGGATTCGAACCCTGACTCCAGGTCCAGCGTTCAATGCCCTCTGAGCCACGCTCCTTCCCCATACAGGTTTCCCCAGTCACACCTAGTGAGGGCCCGAGACTGGACAGGCCTAAAAGGAAGGAAGACGAGGCATGGGCCTGGTGGGTTCAGTCTGAAGGGAAATAACGCGCAGGGGTGGGGAGGGGGGAAAGGAGGCGTCTGGGCGGGCTGGGAGCTCTCTCAGGAGAAGAGGCGGCGCCCTCCGGCCACCTTCCTGCAATCACCTGGTCCCCACCTCCCGCAACCAACTCCCACACCGAGTACCTGCGACTACAGCCCGACACACGCAGACACCGGCTACAACGCGCGCGCAGAGCACACTCCCTGAGCGCGCCCCCGCCCTCAACGCGCAGCACCGTCCGCTGACGTGCGCGCTCCCGCGACACCCCGCCCTCCAGCCTGGCGACGTGCGCGCTCCCGAATAGCGAAAACTCATGGAGGTCAGGGGGTGGGTCGTCAAGTGGTCGCCTGAAAGTTCCCCTCCCCCACCCCAGTTTCTACCCTCTGATAACCAAATAACCAGATAAGTTCGAACAGGGCCCGAAATGTGAGGAAGGAACGGACTTAGGGGAGGAAACCCTCACGGAAGAGAAATGGAACAGCTGGAGGACTAATTTACATCAGGCACTTGGAAAGATGCCCGCCAGTGGCTGGGGGCTGGAGGGCGGGGGGAGGAGAAGAGAAAGGCCCTCGTCTCGTCGAACGGGAAGGGAGGGACGCGGTGTACCTAACACCGAGGTGGAGGGCAAAGGGCAAAGTTCAGGGCGAATCCGCAGGTCTGACTTGTGCTCACTATGGCGGCCTGCGCGACGGGGCTACAACCAGACTCGGCGGTGGTGGTGGTGGGCTCCTGCATGACCGACTTGGTCAGGTTAGTGCCGGGGATTCCACTGAAAGGGAGCCGAGTCCGCTGGCGGCCCGGGGCGGGCAGGTTGTCCTTGGCTCCCGAGCGTGGAGCTGGGAGACAAGCTAGGGAGGGAGGGCCGAGAGGAATCTAAAATGAAGCACGGTGACCAGCTCCAGTTGTCCGGATCTGTATCTTGCCACTGAACCCTGATGGCTCCGGAGGAGAGAGTGAGGCTGGTGACTTTGCACAGCCCTCCCTCACTTAAATGCAGTTCACTTGCAAATCACGACATCACCTTCTGGATGTCGAGGTCCTCTTCGAGAAGGAAGGACAAACAATAACAAAATGAGGCCCAGAGAGGTGAAGTGACCCACCTAGAGTCCTACATCGAGTTAGGGGCAGAGTCAAGATTGGAAACCGAACCCAGGCCCTCGGACTCCCAATCCAGCACTCTTTCCCTTGCAGCACCCTGCCTTCAATGGGCACATAATAGGCCCTTAATAAATTGTTGATTGATTAATTCTTCCATGAAGATGAAGAAATGCAAAGATGCTTTTACACCATTAATACAAATAACAACTGCCAGCATTTCTGGAGCTGTGGCTTCAGCTAACTATGGTGGGGGCCCTCTGTGATTTCTTGTATGCAAACCTTTATCTTGTGCTAACTCTTCAGGAAAATGGAAATACCAAAAGAAAAATAGGCTTTGCCTTTCAGGAGCTGACATTCTAGGAGGGAAAGGTGGACAGGATAAGGAGAGAGAAAACATGTACATAGCATCATAGACCTAGAGCTGGAAGGGGCCTTCAAAGGCCTCTGTTATCTCCTTATCAGGATAAGCCTCCTTATCCTGATGAGGAAATGGAAGCCCAGAGAGGTTAATTGTCCCAAAGTCACACATGTAATTAATACCTGAAAGTGCCTAGATCCTTTGACTATGTGCCCCACTGCCTCTCAAGAGAAAATAACCTAAAAATGAGTGTGATGGGGGAAGGGAGTTTAATGTCTTTGGAGCATACATTTAGAACTGGAAAAGAGGCTTTTGAGATCATCCAGTCCAGTCCACATAAAGAAGCTTCTTATCTCCACAAGAAACTTCTTTAACTGCTTGGATTGGATGATTTTTAAGGTCCTAAGAGCTTAGCTGGAAAATATTTTTACTGGTAAACACTAAGGTGGTCATTGGAGAAGCTGGAAACGTGAACAAGTCTTTGCCAGAACTTCAGCTTAATTTAATACAATTCAACAAACGTTTCTTAATGCATGGCCTTATACTAGAATTTGGAAGTACAACGAAAAAAAACTAGCCTCAAAGAGCTTACAGTCTACTAAATGTATATGGGATATGTACAGAGATTTCAACCTAGAAAATGCATTACCAATTTAGGCTTAAGTTTTCTTTTTCTTTTCTTTTTTTTTTTAGGCTTAAATTTTCTTATCTGTAAAATAAGGAGGTTAAACTATATGACCCATAATGTTCCTTCTAACGATAAATCTATATTCTCAGTTTAGTGCAAAGTAATGAGTGATTAAGGCAAAGGGGTGATTTGGGTGAAGTACTCTGGGAAAACTTGGAGAGAGAAAAACCACTTTCATTTGGGGGGATGAAGGTACCCTTCACAAGAGTTGTGACAGCTGGCTGATCCTTGAAGGAATAAGTTTCAGTTCCAGATATGAGGAAGTAGAATACTGGCGTGAACACCCTGGATGGAAACACTGTGTGAGGAGATAGCTAATAGCTCAGTTTAGCTAGAACTTAAAAATGTGAAAGAAAAAAGGCTGGAAAGAGAAGTTGAAGCCTTGGAGGGATCCGTAGTAAGTTCTTCCTTTATAGTTTGTGAATTAAAAATGAGAGAGGCCCAAGCAAAGATTCATGGGATCCTTGAATTGGAAGAAACCAGAACCTCAGAGTTAAAGGGACCTCAAAATATAATTCAGACTCTACCCAAATCATGAATCCCATCTATTGAATCTTCCAGCCACTGTTTAAATACAAGTGATGATGAGTTCATTCCTCCACTTAATGGTTAGAAGATTTTTAATTATATCCATAAGAGTTGCTCTTAGAATTGGCAGTCTTTCAAATGTATAAAGACTTTTCATATCTCACCTTGCCCCCTTCACCCCAAGACTTCTCCAGGATAAACATCACTAGTTCCTTCCAACAGCATGGTTTCAAAATCTCCTTCACTATCCTTCTGTCTCTCTGTTTTGTCAGTATCATCATATTACTTTTAGGTCATATGGATTCTGTAGCATTTTGTATTTGCAGTGAATATTTCAGTCTTGTTAGTGCAGTAACTATGGAAATTACAGCTAAGACCTCACCTATCAGTTCCACTGACTTGAAATATCTATCTGGAATACAGCAGAGAACTTGAACTAAGATTGCTTGGAAGCCCAATGATTCTTAAATGATCTCTATTTGACCTATCATCCAAGTCAGTTGTTTCTGGTACCAGATGGCTTATGTTGTTCTTTTTTAAAAATCTTTTGATTTTATTCTATTAGAATAAATGCCATTTCATGAAATTATTGATTTCTCTTTCATATCTTCTAATTTTCTAATTTTACTTGGATGAGGTGAACCACTTTATTTTCCAAACCATTTATTCTCTTTCCAATTCTTTCCTCAAGAATTTCAATTTCTTATCTGTGACTGCAGTGGTTACAGAATTACTTGTTCCTAGAGCTGCACTGGTTCTTTATACCAGTCACTGTCTTCTTTGATTTACTCATCTCTCTAGCTTTAATTCCTGAAATGGGTAAGGCCAAGCTCCTCCTTCTGCTATGATTTCGAGTGGGGTTGTGGCTCCTGTTTGGTCTTACCCTGAGTCACCTATATTCTTGCAGTTATCTTTACCTGTTGGCCCTAAATCTTTGAGGTTCAAAGTGATGGGACTGAGGAACCTTTATGGCAACTCAGTACAGAGTACTATGGACCTTGGAGCCCCTATACTTGAGCACTTTTGTACCATAATGCTCTTTGGAGCTCTTCAGGGTCCTGGAGTTTTCTGACCACCCTGTAGATTTCTAGTTTCCCTGGTGCTTTCTGAAGAAAGCCTTCTACTGCTCCCTCATGACACAGAACCTTGTAGGTTACCAGATTTTCAAGCCCATCATAGGCTCACTGACAGCCTACAGGCTTATTTGCCTGTACTGGCATTTTTTTGTCGATGGGCATCTAGCTGATTGGGAGAGGAAGGGGAGGAGGAGTGAAATTCTGGATGGAAGTCACTCACTGTAATTTCTTATTGACTTTCTTAATCATTTTTTAATCTAGTGCAAAGTTGAAGTCTTTGCTGGAGTAGCTATGCTAGAACTGGGCTAAATGCCTCCTGTTGAAGCACCTATGTTGGCTGAAGTTTCCTAACTTTACAATTTAAAAGGAAAGAAACTTACTCAAAAATCAAGTACAGAAAAAAAAATATAAATCAGATAATATGCAACAGTATACTTTATTAACACTTCCACTGAGGTTATAAAATATGTGAGATTACAGCATTTCAGATTTTTCCTTTGTCATCATAGTTGTATCATTCTTATTTGTGTATGGGTCTTATGAGGCAGCAAGGTGACCCAGAGGATAGAGTGCCAGACCTGGAGTCAGGAAGACTCATCTTCCTGAGTTCAAATCCTGCATCAGACCCTTACTAGCTGTGTAACCTTGGGCAAGTCACTTAATCCTGTTTGCCTCAGTTCGTCATCTGTAAAATGAGCCGGAGAAGAAAATGGTGAACCACTCCAGTATCTTTGCTAAGAATACCCCAAATGGGGTCACAAAGAGTCAGACTGAACTGAAAAATGACTGAACAACAGTTGTCTTATTCCCATTTTAAACTGTAAATTCCGTGAAGAGAGTGGCTAAATTTTTGCTTCCATTCCCAGAAATTTAAACATGGTAAATACTTAGTGAATGTTTGTCAAATAAATAGAAGGTTAACTCTCTATTTGATAGGGTGGATGGTGCAGTGGATAGAGCTTTGGGTCTGGAGTCGGAAAGACCTGAGTTCAAATCCTCAGACACTAGCTGTTTGACCCTGGGCCAGTCATTTAACCTCTGTCCACCTCATTTTCCCCAAATGTAAAAAATGGGGATAATAATACTAGCTCTGTAGTGTATCTGATAACTAAGTAAGTCTAAGGTAGGGCTCAGGTAATTATTATGGGAAATTTGGCCTTAGGTACAGCGTTCCCATTACTGTTCTCTTTATTATACCTCATGCTACTTATTTTGCCACTGTTTTCAAAGACTGTGCCCACTCTTTGGAGTTTCTTTATGTGTAAAACCTTACATGTAGAACCCCCAGGACAGGCTACTTTAAGTACTTCAATAACAAAACCACTTTGACTAGAGTTCAAGATCAATTCTACTTTGAATGGAATTTTAATAATTGAATTGATGATTGATGTTCCTTTATAGAATGTGTACTCAGTGTTCCACATCTCCTTTTTCATTTCTAATTAATGTGGCCAATAAGTAGTAGTCCCAGTGGCAGTCTTGCAGATTCTAGCATAGTAGTCATGGTCATTTGTGGTACTGACTATGCCTCACCTTTGCAGATAGTTTTCAAAAATCATGAGACCTGTTAACATTATAGTCTTCATTGATCCTGCCAATTTTTGCCAGTGTCAGCCTCCTCACATCTCCTAAATTCCACTCCCCAGGGTTATGCTTGCATGCATACATACCTACATGACATACATACACACACAAGCATGTATGTGTATTTAACCCTGGTCTCACTCCTGTACTTCAGTCTAGCATTATCAACTATCTTTTGCACATCTCCAGCTGTATTTCATATAGGTGTGTCAAACTCAACATGTCTAAAATGAAGTTTTACACCAAAAATCACTCCTTTTCATGATTGACCTATTCCTTTTGAGAGCACTTTGATCTTTCCCAGCATTGGCTTAAAAATCACAGAATCATCCTTGACTATATACATTTTCCTTCACTTCCCATATTCCAGTTGGTTACCAAATCTGGATAATTCTACTTCCACAACATTTCTTATATA